CAGTTCTATAAGCCTGCTACGGAGGCTAACAGTTATTCGATAGTTTCACAGTCAATTGACTGTACATAATGTAGCCACCGATCGCAGCGTAACTTTATCTGACTATTAAACAAAACCTTTTTTCCTACCTGTCAACTCCGATGACCAGCAGAGCGTCAGTGGACACGTAGAGGGACACCATCTTGACGTAGTTGACCAGTCGGCACATGTGTGGTCCGTAGTTCCAGGCCCTCTCGTTGATGATGTAATAGTCCAGGTCGAAGGGGATACACAGCACGGCGACCACGAAGTCTGACAGCGCCAGGTTGGCTATGAGCAGGTTGGTCGTGGTCCGTGCTTTCTTGTATCTCCCCATGACGATGAGGAGTAGCAGATTCCCCACGCCACAGCTGAGGATGATGAGGCTGTAGACAAGCCCGAGGATGACACGCAGAGGGATGGAGGCATGTTCTATCGTGTGCGCTTTTGTGATACCCTCCTGGCTGAGCACGTAGTAGATATCGTCGTAGAGCTCGGATAGGTCGATCTCTGTGATGTTCTCATCCATGGCTACGACCTGGAAAACGGTTCGTAACAGTCAGTCAGGCAGTCTGCAAAGCTAAGCTAAATGCTAAAGCTAAATGCTAAAGCTAAATGCTAAAGCTAAATGCTAAAGCTAAATGCTAAAGCTAAATGCTAAAGCTAAATGCTAAAGCTAAATGCTAAAGCTAAATGCTAAAACTAAATGCTAAAGCTAGATGCTAAAGCTAAATGCTAAGGCTAAATGCTAAAGGTAAATGCTAAATCAAAATGTGGATCCAAATAAAGTCAAAGTCAAAGGAGACCGGTTTGAGTTATCATCCAATCTCACTGAGTCTGTGTAAAACATGCTTCTGTTTTCTGTAATATGATGACCAGGAAACAGGGCTTATGGTACCGCTAGGCTGGCGGCGGTTTGAAAGCTCTTTTAGGCCTCAACAAAGGCAATACGGATATCATACCAGCTCTACTGGCGTTCAGCCAGGTGATAGGACGTACAAGCGGAAGAAACGTTCTAAAAATACGGTTGACTAGGTTTAGTCACTGTTGTAACGGCTAAATGGTAATTTAGTCATGGAAGTTAATGTAGAAATAATGATGCTTGGAGAATGCCAAGTACTGTTGCGTGAAAGTGTAGCGTCTGGTTTTGTCTCCTGAAACAAGAAAAGGTTAATAGAAGGCTGACGAAGGCTGAGTGAGTCAGTCGTAAATTCCATTTTTTTAGTAGAAGAACAGTTTAACTTTTACTCGGATGAACAACTCATTATGTAACAGACAAACTCATATGAACATGCTGGCATAATTGGAAAGGGTAGGCGTTGTCAGATAGAGCACATGAATTAGAGAAGTGAAGGCGTTTTTTTAGCATTTACATGAGCTGAAAAAGCCTGAAATTAGTCATAGCGAATCCTCACAAACGCCATCGCTTCTCTAATTCATGTGCTCCGACAACGCCTACCCTTTCCAATTATAACAGCATGTTCATATGAGTTTGTCTGTTACATAATGAGTTGTTCATCCGACAAAAAAAGTTAAACTGTTCCTCAACTACTTCATCTAAAGTTGTATATAATTTGTCTTTACTCTCCGAGTCCACATTTTGTTTACTTCATTGTTAATTTGATTTTCAAAGTGTTTGGTTGCATGTTATGTTTTCCAATCACTTTCAGTTATATCATTTTCTATTATTTTGACCTCTGACCTCCCATTCATTTCATTTTAAGTTCTATATGCTGAGTTTGGTTAATTATCCTCTGTTATCTCAGGATAAATCTTTGTTATGAATTTATTATTACTATTTTCCGTTATTTATGGTTTATCATAATTTATGTTTGATTGATTTATTATTGTTTTTACTATTTTTGTTTAGTTAGTTGGACTCCAGGAAGAGTAGTGTAAACTTTATGTATTACACTAAATGGAGATCGAAATAAAACAAACAAACAAACCTGTCCATGGTGCTGAACACACCATTCACACAACTGAATGGACCTGTCCTTGGTGTTAAACATACCATTCACACAACTGAACAGACTTGTCCTTGGTACTGAATACACTATTCCCATAGTTGAACAGACTTGTCCTTGGTGCTGAACACACCATTCACATAGTTGAACAGACCTGTCCTTGGTGCTGAACACATAATTCACATAAATGATGGGCCCTGTCCTTAGTGCTGAACACAGGATTCCCTCAACTAAAGGGACCTGTCCTTGGTACTGAACACACTATTCACACAACTGAAGGGCCCTGTCCTTGGTGCTGAACACACCATTCACATAGTTGAACAGGCCTGTCCTTGGTGCTGAACACACCATTCACATAGTTGAACAGACCTGTCCTTGGTGCTGAACACACCATTCACATAGTTGAACAGGCCTGTCCTTGGTGCTGAACACACCATTTACACAGCATACCATATAGGAGAGACACCTACCTGTTAAAGTTAAAACTGCATGCAAGATAAACAAAATAAAGGGTCCTGCCCATGGTGCTGAACACACCATTCACACAACTGAAGGAACATATACATACCAGATACACCATCCATAGTTTTTTCATGTGCATACCATGTAGGAGAGACACCTAATTCTTTTATTCAAAACTGCATGCAAGATAAACAACATTCATTTTGACTGTGCTAGTGAATCTTGGAAACAGTTGTCTGATCAATGTACAGTTTTAAGAGCAAATTTTAGTTATTTACCATGGAAATATGAGTTCTTTAAACTAACTGGGCGTTTTCAACATTTTTAACCAGGTATCCATGTGAAAGGTATAGAAATTACTGTCTGCCCAAATTGTACCAGGTGCCATATCTAAAGCTTTGATGTCTGTTTGCCTCAGATTAGAATTTTATATACATTTTTTAAAGTCATTTACTTATGTTGACTATAACATGACAAACTTGTATTGCTATTTCTATGGACTCTTTCAAAACTAATAAGAATAAGAAATGTCAATTTTAGTAAGTTTGAAGTGGTACATGAAAGATACATTTGTAGGCCCCACATACAGTTTCCTTTAGGTTACTAGTATCACATTTCAACACACTGATATCAATAGTTCTAGTAAAGTATCTTGTAAGTATTTTCCCTTCTTGACCCCAGCATAAACTTACAAACTTTGCAAGGAAGCAACAAAAATGGTTCAAACTGCAATGGATTGAAACATTCCAATGCAACTCTATGATACACGTCAAGGAATAAATGATGAAGTCAAGACTCTACAATTTTGTTTGTTTCCATATCTTTAATAAAATCTCTATAATGGTAGATATACATGTACAGTAACCTTTTGAAGTTTTCAACTCCATCGATATTATCACCGTAACAATTCTTACTGTATTCAAGGTACATGTACATGTACAATGTACTGATACTTGGTACACATTTTCCTTTGTGATGAAGAATGATTAACACTTGGAATACTGGGTACACAAGCAAATATAGTTACTATTTAAACCTTGTCAACGTTTAGGTGTATAACAGCTCAGTACTACATGTACTACTTTTTTCCATGCATGCATTACAATTTTAATGTTAAATACAAAAAGGAAAAAAAATTGCACTTAAGTTAGGTTAGCATAAGATAGTTGGGATTTTCCAGCCTCGATGCATGTCACTGATCTGTTCCATTTGCAGGCTCCAGTTTGCTGAAAAAAAAGGTTGGATAGCAAAAATGTTCATTATGAAAGATTTTAAGAATGACATACTTACCTGTTGGTCAGTTGACCTGTATATGATGTTGTTTGCTGACCGGTGGTGTCCTTGTTTTTCCAGACCTGACCAACTCGTGTGCAGGTGACCCCTGCAACGGTGGGAAGTGTAGCCAGCAGTGGAACAGGTATGAGTGTGACTGCGGGATGACAACGTACACCGGACCAACTTGCGAAAACGGTGAGTACAGAATCCTTTCAAATAGTAGCCTGTTTTTTGATTTGTACAAAGCCATAAACATGTGTTAGTTCTAGTTAGAGCTTTCATGAGGTACTTGATCATGATTTGGCATTCAAGTTTAACCTTCCCAAGTGCAAGGGCTGATTTAGAGGTGGTCGTTATAAATCAGCCCATGACATTTGGAAGGTTAATATGTGGAAACACCTGCTCTCAGTTGTGGCAGAGCCACCTGTCTGTTTTGGTCTAAACTGCAGGAGGTCAATGAGTGGCCCCTTCCATTATTTATCATGGCGACTCTTGGCTCCCTCAGGAATTATGCATGGCTACTTCCTCAATCCACTTTTCCGCCCAAAAACAGGTTTGCTGATCGTTCCCCACAGATAAAGTAAAACAATGATGCATCTGCGCATATCTGCTGATGTTTTACTCTGAAAGGGCAGACTGTAGTTCCGCCCATAAAGGGGACTTGATTATATCTTTGTTTTCACTGTATTTGCACATATCTGCACCATCTTCCATCCGCAACACACTACACAAATCAACACAGGCCCATTATCTTATTAAGGAGAAATACTATTTCCTGTAGGTTTTTATGTCTTCCGTTGGTTTCAAAGTAGATTTTCTTCACTACATATCTGCCCTGTCTTGTATTGTATTGTATTGTATTGTTGATGCTTGTTGGTGCACCTGCCAATATGCTAATTTAGAAACACACACGTATCATTTTCTTCTCACGCTCAACTTACCTTTCACTCTAATTTACATTCTACACCACCAACGCAACAATAAAGGTGCAAATTGAGTTGGGCCTTTTTTTGACTGAAGTCAACTTAGCGTGAATGGACACCGTGTCGAAACTTTAGCCAATTTGACAGGAAGTGTTTAGAGCCGAAGCCCTGTGTGGCCCTATTTTGACAGTACTGGGACAATGCGGTCATGTTACATGATGGAGCCAAGCAGTACAGCACTGCAACCATCAATGTCAATTTGTTCACACACGAACAGCGTACTTTTCACGAAAAGTTCGGGTAAGTCGACCTTCCAGCTCCAACAAAGGAGAGATGTTCTGTGCCGTCGCCTCTTTCATCAGACGTATGACTCTGAAAGACAAGACTGGAGACAGACTTGTTATCTTGTCGCGGATGGTACTTGTAATTAAAGCAAGCGACATCTGTGAAATGTCATTGACTTAGGACAGGCTAATATGTATTGTCTTATATTTTGTTGAATGTAATTGTCAAGAGTTGAACATTGAAATGTTTGTATACAGTACATGATTTTGCATCTGTGATAGGGTGCAAAAGAAAGCAAGGGATAAAAGTACATGTTTAGACATCATGTGTGTATGTATGTGTATGACAAAAAGCATTGAACAATATTGTTAGAGGAAATATTGTCACTGAAGAATCATCACAACAAGGTGAGTGTACTTTTGTATTGTCTCTGTGGTGTGAACAAAATGTACATTTGCACACATACAGTACCAGTAATCTGGAAGATAGATTGCCACTCCCGTAATGTATCCGTTACCCGTTACATTATCAGATCCGCAAAGTACGGGAGGACAAACGATGTGGATGTCACACCGCACATTTTTCCATGACTTATCGACCCTACGGAGGGCGTTCAACATACAAAATATATGAAATATACTTAGGACACAGATTTATCAAATACTAACTGCCCTACAACATCTGTAAATTCTCCCATCGCTCACTGAGTTCAAGAGAAAAAAATGAAGACAGTGTGCACTTAGTCATACACACAGTCGACATGTACTTACTTTGAAAAACATAACGGCTTTCCTATCTATGGGGTGGTTTCCGAGAAGCTTGCCATTTTTCCCAGCAAATTTCTGGCCAGCGTTTGACTGATTTTGCGGCCAACACATTTTGTATGTGCTCTATAGGATTCCTCTTATTTTGCAAGCACTACAAAAATTTACTCTGTGAAAGCTACGGTATTTAAATCAATGTGGAATCAACCTATAGCTGCCCTCAGTTTTGAATCTGGCAGTGTGACTCTTTCTAGTGGCAAGAGACGGTTGCAATTCAATCAATAAACTTTAGGTATTGTGCAAGTTCAGCAAAATGCAAGGGATTAACGCTGACTTATCGCTGAATTAATCGAGTCTGCTGCCCGTTACTGTCACCTTGCGAGGAGCGCTCTCTCTCTCAAGACATTTAAAAGGGGTGCTAATATCTCCATCAATTCATCACTTCTGTAATTCCCCGAGTCTTTGTAATATGACGGAGCCGTCCCAGTTGGTCAGGGGTGGTTGGCAAACGTCCCAACAGTTCAGTGGTTATTCTGACATTGATGGGCTAACAACGTGGTGCGAAGTAGAACTGATTGGCTTGGGTGGATGTTTTACTTCATCACCGTGAAGTCAGCCCATAATGCCATCGAATACCATGAACTGTTTCAAAGATAAAAGAGAAGGGAGGGTAGGGAAGGAAAAAAATAAAATTTTCCCCTGATAGTAAGACTTAGTACGTTTTGAAAAGCAGCTACAATTCACCCGTATTTATAAGGTGGCATAACCAGGATCTCTCTCACTTTCAGCTGCACAATTAGCTAAAGTTACGAACTTGAAATTATTTCTTTTTTTTCCTAGTAATTGAACTCTGAATTCAAATTTTGCTGGGAAAAACTTGGCATGGACTGGGCATATTCCTTTACTATGCAATGTAAACATAACACAGTCAGTACGCAAAGGTACATACACTAATAGCAATGTTACAAACACTGTTCTCCTTTACATAAGTTACTCCATATTGTACTTTAAGGCAAGTTAAGACCACTGAAAGTGGATTTTAATGTAACGTTACAGTGCGTTTTACCTGCTTACCGGATATACCCATCTTCCTACCTGAAACCTGAGCGGACTTGTCCCGGGTTAACCGCAAAATGGCGAAGCGTCTTTCCACAGGGCGTAAAGTCGTTGTGACAACGTCTTATTCTCCTCTGTATCCCCCGCTGGATCCGGTTTGCCTTTTTTCCCCCTGTTTGACTGCGTTCACGTTGACGTCTTGCGCTGTGCATCCAGGCGCCGCCGCATCTGCCTGATCCTTTTTCCTCCCCTTCATTTTGTATAGTGCTGCTCACCATCTGTTGTAGTCCATTAATTTGGGCTGGAAGTCTGCAAAATTGCGTACGATGCATGTAAATCCGTCAATCATGTCCCGTATTCACAAGCCCATATCCACGCTGGGTCACCTTGAGAGAGTGCCGGACGGCTCGCCAAGTTTTCCCCGTACTGAGATTAGGGTTTCCGTCGTCTTGTCTCGCTCTCGCTCGGGATTTTCAGGGATATCGCTCGGCAAATCCAAAGTGGATTGCATTTTGCTAATGAAGCCACTTGACGCAATATCGCGTAGTGGATGATTAATCCATGATGATGTCTTCTCGGTTCTGCCCAAGCATGCACCCAGGCTGTCAGCTCGCTGTTCAATAATGATGGATGCGGCTGTTTGCCACGCTAGGAGTCACCTGGGTGTAGACCCAACTTCCATATTTTCCAATTTTCCCTCCATACTGCAAATCGACGACCCATTTCCAGATGAAATGGATTTCCAATGTAGGCCAGGAAAATTATGGGCTTGCATCTCTTCCCAGCCATTTGCTACAAATGGCGTGCATACCAAAATCCCACGCAGATAGAGGCGACAATGTCATTCATGTCTGCGGTAATGGGTGTGCACTGATTGGGCTTAACAAGAAGATACATGGCGGAACAGATTCAAAGTGTGCGGTCATTCCTTTGTTGATCTGTCAACTTGAAAACGATATAAAACAAGGCCCCTAGAATCTCGTAAAAGCTCAGAAAGCCCTTAATCAACTTTCTTCTTGCATCAGTTTGCATTGTGCCCAACTTTCCGGTAGACAGTAAGTCAGGAATTGTTTTGCCATCCTGTGAAATGGTAGGGACTTTAGTTGAACTTTACAGTGGCATACAGTCATGTAATTATGATATTTTAATTGTGAAATAGCGTTAAAGAAATGCATGGAGCAAAATTGCTGATCAGTTATTAAACGTAGCGTACAACATTTTGATGAGATTATCTACAGTTCTAAAGAACAGTCTGAGTATACTAAGGTTTGGTAAAGACCAAGAGAAGTTTCAAATTTTGTGGTTTGTTCAAGTAGTAAGACTTACAGTTTATCACCTGTCCACCTACTGTTTTGCCTTGGGCTTCCATTGTCTAATGTGCATCTTTGTTGCCTTTCCTGTAACTGTTGTCCTGTTCAGAATATCTTGGCTGATAACAACCTATAGAAGGATTATGAAAGGCATCAAGTCTGAAAATGTTGGACATTAGGAACTTGAGATGGTGTTTTTATACCTGGAATTCATCTTTTTTGTGGCCTACATGTACATGTATATATACATTCAGTGCCTACAGCTTTTGTGGACAGATTAGAAATGATAGTACTTTAATCTTTTGCATGGTTTATTTTTGATGATACCAATAATATCTGATACTATCACTAACAATAAAACTACCTTGCCTTCCTTATGAAGCAGATTTTTAGATGGGGCAAAAAAAGGCAGACGTAAAGTGTACTGTAAGGAATCCTAGAGAAAAAAAGTACTGTTCCTTCTAGTTCTTTTGTATTAGCATGCTCAAACATGTACCATCTCACTTTCTAGAAATTCTCTGTCATACGTGCTGATTCACATAGTCGAATAGTCAGACTTAGCCTAAGGCCAGGAGTGACCACTTGCCATGCTGCAGGGTTGTCAAATCCAAGTTAAAGTAATGCGAAACGTGTTAACATGTGCGGCGGGACTGATTTGTTAATCCGTTGCAACTTGGTTGTTACTCACTGTGGTGAGGCTTATTCATTCAACCACGCTATGGATAGAATGCTTGATTTTTTTATACAGGGTTCCAGCCTTTAATATGCTTAACCGACTATTAATTAAGGTCATTTTGATTCAAAATAATTGTATGATTCGTATGAAAATGAAATCTTGTCAAAACTGAAAAAAGGTA